GGAAATTTTTTTTATTTTCCACTTTTTCTGGGAATTTTCCAGTGGGACGAACCGACGAAACGTGTTCCATTTACCGCCGAACCGGAAATTCCGGAAATTTTGACTAAATGGAAAGCGCCCTCTATAATTTTTTTATTGTTCGAGTTTAAGTCAGTTAGATGATGTTGGCGCTGGGAAACTCAGAGAAATGCTCGCGTTGCATTCAAACCGACACGCCGTTCATGGTAGGTTCACACTAAAAGATGACTGTGAGCGTCAGGTTTGGAACGCCGTGGCCGCTTCGTGAACTCAAAGAGAGAATTATCGATCGATGTAGTACAGGAGCAATTAAGAAGCACAATTTATGAGCAAGGTATTTCACCAGTTGACGACACTATGGCTGAAGACTTGATTGTAATCCTTCGTAGTCAGTGAAGCGAACAACTCAGTTGCCGATGAATGGCACTACGCACGTCCATGAGCGAGGGACGTGACAACTTTGCCATGTTAGAAGACTGGCTTTTCCTTTAACTATTTCCTTCTATTTAATGCAACACACGCCACTTTGGAGGTCTAAATTTCGGATACTGAGGATAAAGAAGACACGGACAAAAATAGGGACTCTGAGAATTTCGCACACAAGTTTAAAGCTTCACCGGGACATCCCATCCGGGAGCTTCACAGAGAGCGACTTGAGGAAAATAGGAGCTATTACTGACAAGGTTTGGTGACTGAGTAGAGCATACAAGTGTAGCCCACGTCGAAGTTTCAGGGGGTTTGCTTTTGTTTGTATTTGTATCTTGCTAAGCTTTTATCATTAAATTTGTACATGATCTTGTGATCACAATTCTGTGTTTTCGCCCATTCAGCAAGCACGCTATATTGATGTCAGCGTGAGCGAGTTTCAGAAACATGCCGTGATGTTTCTTGATATTTCTTTTACCATTTTATGGAGATGTAAACTGAAGTCACCGCAAAATGGAAACTTAAAAAAGCGTATAATCCATTTATCTCGAAACATAACACACATGACTTATGCGACCTTTATTTTCGTAAAGGTGTTTTGAATACGAACGAACACAGTCAATGTGAGGGGCAAAAACAGCATTAATGTAAATGAACCATAGGGTTTTAACTAATATAAGGGTCAATTATTGTGCATTAAGATGAATCGCTTGAAAAGAGAGACTTCGCTTGAAGATGTGATCAGAAGTAAACAAAGGCATAATAGTGCGTCACGTTCAGTCTTTTTAATATCCAAGGAGTCACTGTGAATAGTGTTTCCATATTGTTTAGCTGGCACAAAAACTTCGGACGAGTTATAAAGCGGCATAGTTATCTTCCATGAAGAAAAGTTCGTCTTGGGTGAGACAAACAGAACTGGAGCGAATTTTTAACTCGCATCGGTATCAGGTAAAAAATATGTTATCGATCGTTTCATCTATTTACATTGTTTGAAGTGCGTGCTGGTGAACGCAACATGCGAGCGAGAAATCTTTAAACTTTTTTAGGTCTCAAAATGCAAAGGATTTTATTCCTTTAAGTTAGAGAAAAATACCGTGAGGAAAATCTTAAAACTGAATATTTTTCATCTTGTGGAAAAAATAGTGCGTTTTCTTGTAGACTGTGGACCGCAAATTAGGATGGCACTTTTCACAAACATGCAAGTTCTGAAGCCAACCGACGATTGCTTTTTTCGCTGCTGTCAATCATCTTAACGGACCTCTTAGGAAACAAAACTTTACTTCACGGGTTCAAAAGGTCATGGTTTGTGATTTGTGGATTTCGATCCGTTTTGTGTGTTTCTCTGTTTCAAGGTTCGTTGCTTGTGACCGTAATTATGATTGACGGCCGCGATAAACACAATTGTGAAGGTGGCTTTTGAACTTTAGAGTTCGCATGTTTGTGAAAAGCGCAGTAAAGTCTCCGTGCAGTCAGTGAGGCCCCTGGATCAGGCGGGATCAATGGGCAGTTAACTGTCTGTTTTAGTATACTTCTGGTTTTCATACAATACAATATTTCTGTCTAGTGTAAATCAGCTCAGTCTGTCGCATTTTATGCTCGTAGAACGACAACAATTTTTGGAATTTCTAGTTACGTCAAATTAGTCTCGTTATACTGTCACGCTATATTTTGGGGCACAGAGGGATTGGGGGAGGGGTGCGTGGAAATAATGCAAATTGTTTCCTGCTTAGAATTAATGGCTAACTTGTTTATTTTTATTCATAATGGTGGAATTTAAAAGTTATTATACAGCCCCCACTTAAAAATGGTACTCTTTTTTTTGGTTACGAAAGTCTTTCAAAAGGGTACAATGTTCTGAATGAGTTTATGTTTCAGTCTCACATGAGGTTCTGTCGCATGCAATGGTTGCCGACAAGGTTTTATGGTAGCCTGAGTGTGTATAGCCGTCCCCTCCCTTCAGAAAAAATAGCCCCTTTGCAGCCCAGTTAAAAATCGCCTTTTGGCGATTCTTGTTTTACTTTAGAACCATGATGTCTTTAAGTGGCTTTCTTCTAATGTTTGGCATCATTGCTTGTTTATCAGGATAACCAAGTGGAAGCAGTAATATTAGCTTTTCATTGCTCTTTCTTCCAAGTAACTCTCGTAATTGTGGCCCAGCATTCATTGGAGTCGATGTTACTGTTACCAATCCAGCATTCTGTTAAAAATGATATAAGTTAATTGAGGTTTATTCTGGCAAATACGCATGTGCATGCGCTGGTGAAATATACATAAATGTGGTTTAACGCTAATTGTACGTTATACAGTCAACTCTCTTTTAACGGACCGCACCTCTATAAGGCGTACACCAGGCATTGGTCCCTGCAGTGTTTCAATCATTTTACTGTAACTAGTCTTCTCTAAGACGAATAACGGACACTTGAAACCGTTAACGGACGATTGGGAAGTGCTTTATGTAGTGAAAAAATACCTCAAAAAGGAAATGTGGGTGCTCTACATGACAGTAACTTGCAAAATGTTTGATATTTTGTAGCGTTACTCCATTGAGTTCGCAGAGTGTACAGAATGTATACTGTTACACTTTTGGACCACGAAACCGCAAACGTTGGATTATATAATGAACGTTTGATAGCACAAAGAGGAAATAATTCCACTGCTCTTCGTGTGTTGCAGTTTCAGCAGTTTTAAACACACGTGTATTGATTGCGAATAGTCAGCTTTATAATTACTGATGTCGTGTTACCTTGACACTCTATAAGACGGTCACCTCTCCAAGGCGGACAGTCGCAGGACCGGTCCTGAAGCTGTCCATTTTAGAGAGAGTTTACTGTAGAAAGTACAGGTTACAGCCACTGAAGCGCGGACCATCGTGGCGAGGCCGGGCTAGGCTTTGCCGTCAGCCGTTTTCGAGTCTTTTAGTACATCTAGATCTTGATAAACTAATTTTTGATTGACATTACAAGTTCATGGCGAAGGATGGCTTCCATTATCTGGATCGACAGACAAAATTTAGCTACTGCTTTTGAAGATGTGAAACAAAAAACTACGTGAGCTAAGGGTATGGCTGAGATAATGCTTTTTCGAATCAGTTAGAAGTTCTAAGGATTCAACACTTGCTTTTTATATGTTTTTTTGGGTCCTGTACTGCTGTTTATATTTGCAAAATGTATAAATAGATTTAACACCTAGCCTCTTGTAAAGTCAACCCCCTTGTCCGTATTAACGGGTTGTCGGTATTAAGGTGCTTGAATTTAAAGAAAATGAACGGTGTTTCTTTTCCAGGGACAAAGCAGACAGTCCGTAATAATAATGAGGTGTCCGTATTAAACGGTTTTTCCTAACGCGGGGTTTAACTGTATAACAAAAACAGATAACTGACCTGAATGGCTGCAAGGAGAAGACCAACAGAAATGCAGACACTCATTTCATTGTAGTAATGCATTTTCTTACTGCCGTCCTCGTTGAATCCATAAACTTGCTTAAAAACTAGAATGAGATAAGGAGCGGTGTCTATGTATGGTTTGGCCCACGTTGTCTTGAAATACTCTATATCTTTAACCCACTGTTCCCCCATTCGTCTTCCATAATTTAGATACTCTTTCTCTTCTACAATTCTGCGGATTTCAGCTTTAACAGATTTGTCTTGTACAACCACAAAGGTCCAAGGCTCTGTGTGAGCTCCACTTGGGGATGTTCCTGAAAAATTTAATACCAAAAAAAAAATGTTATTGGATTAAAAAGAGCGCGTAATAATTCATCAATTATTGTTCTCTAAAGTGAATAACAAAAAATTAAAATCAACCTCAAACATTATATAAATAACCTGTGGTCATGATCTACTTTCATTTCGCTGTATAAATTCTGGCTGGCAGCGAAACCATGTAAGAGAAAACGTAGGACAGCTGCTTAAATTCGGCCGTAAATAGATTCATGTTCCGAGTTGGTTTGAAACTTACTACTGAATCCTGACAATGCCCTCTGGCTGTTAGATCATCATCAGTTTACCAGTTCTGGGGCAGCAGCTCGAAATAACCCCAAATGGAGATCAAAAGAACTTGAGACGGCTGGAAACAACCCTTTAAAGTGTACATAGCTACATAGGACCTCATAACATTTTACTCAATTAAATCAGCTTCGGATTCATCCCTTGAACATCCCATATTTTTTCAAAGTTTGTCGCGTTTATTCCGAATCACTTTAACGAGGGCGCGCGAATGCTTTTGGAGTTGAATTATCATGGGTACCGCAACAACCGAAAGAAGGAAGATATTTCTTCTTTGTCAATTCACGTCGTGGTCGTACAGACCGTACAAGGACAGCAAGGAAATTTACCAGAAAACGCGGTGCACGTACAAAATTGTTGTTCTACTAATATAATAGCGGAGCTCTCGCGCGCGAGGCTTGCCAGCGGAGCACCATGGGTAAGAAAATTTGGTAAACTATACTATCCATCCGAGAAAATTTGGTGATGACGTAGCGTACGAACGCCGACCGTCCGTACAGCCACTACATGTAAGCCGATGTTAAGTGTCACACTTGTCAGGAGCGAGAAATAAATAACAACGGAGACTAAAGCCCCGCGCAAACGGACGCAACATTGTTGGCCAACAACTCCCAACATCGTTGGATGTTACATGTTGTGTCCGTTTGCACACCCTGTTGCATGTTGTTGGATGTTGTTGCGTGTTGTTGCGCAAAGTTTGAAACCGGTCAAACTTTTCAGCCAACAACTCCCAACATTTCTTTTGTTCCGTGATCGCCGAAGCGTAGCGCAACAATGTTGGATCCGTTTGCACAGCTCTTCCAACATTGTTGGGGCCACGCACGCTCATTACGCATGGTTTACAAAGACTTATGGGTTGTATCCTTCCCACGATGCACTGCAGGTCCCAACATTGTTGGGAGTTGTTGCATCCGTTTGCACACCACTGCCAACACGCACGCAACAACTCCCAACATTGTTGCGGCAACAATGTTGGGAGTTGTTGCGTCCGTTTGCATGCAGCCTAATTTCGTTGGAAGAAAAACATGAAAATTAAATAGCGGCGGTTATAAAATGAGAAATGCTAGCGGCTACTAACGTGAAAAACGAGCGGCAGTGAAAAAACAGAGTGAACAGGAACACAAATATTTCCTCCATAAAACGCGTAAATAGGAAGCTAAAAGAAGTTTCACGTTTTAGTCGTGTAAAAGAACGGTAAGGAAATGTACAAAAGAAAAACTGCTGCACTTGCAGAGTTGTTTTTTTTGCTAATTAGGAAAAAAAAAGCGTGCTGCACGTGCAAAGTTGTTTTTTTGCTAATGAGATCTATTGTAGTTGTTTTCAACCTTCTCGTTGCTTTCAGCTTGTCATTAGTATTACTCGATTTTATATTTTCTTCAAGGAATCTATGACTAAATCTATATATATTATAGTAAAGGAGGAGTTAATCAGCATTGTAATAGCTGGTAGTATGTGCCGAAGACAGTCTTTAATCGCACGCATCGGTATTCTGTCCTTACCGGGGGCCTTGTTCATTAGTAGGCATGACCATGATTAGCTAGGACACTTCCTTAAAGGTGAACAGGTCACCAATGTCAGACCGCGGGGCGGTGCTGTTATTTGGCAAATTGCTGTTGGACAACCAATGTAATCTGACCAGTTCAGTTCTGAATCATGAGCCGCCTTTACGTCCACGGATGTGAAGACTCCATTTGAAGTCTCCAACTGCCAACATTTTCATTTACAGCAGGTTTTAAATCTCGAATCAATAAAGTTTCTTTTATTCTACAATGCATATCTGATTTGGTTGTTAATATCTCAAAGTGATCCCATTTAATATTGTTGCTTGTTGAAGAAATATGATGGTTTACAAAACATATATTGTATGAGATTCAACAGAAATGTTTTAAAGTAATTTCGCTGTTGAAATAAATGAGTAATTTCCGCATTTCAAGTATAAAAGATAAACTTTTGAATTACCCAGCAGTTGAATAGGTAATTCAAAAGTGAGTTTGGAGAGGATTATAAATTTTGCTCATTGAGAAAAGACAGAAGTTGTGCGTGGACAGCTCTTTCTAGCATCTTACAAGAAAATCCTAAAGGGTAATTTCTCATCAGTTCCGCGTTAGCGAGAGAATTTTTTGCGAATGCTCGCGGAGTAGCCTATCGCCTTTAATTGTTTCTTAAGTTTTTTAAGTTGCTGTGCATGTAAGGATAATATAAATCACTTCATTCCACGCTCAATAATAAAAAACTAGAATTATTTTGTCCTGAAAGACATTTATCAGTCGTGGATAATGTGTATTAAGGGTTTAGTTTTATCGTTTGTCTCACGGTTGTCACTTTGATATTGAACGCGACGATTATTGACCAGAAATATGGGCGCCCAGCCCTAAGGTTGATCCGTCGACACGAGCGATGCTCACAGGAGCTCGAACATTACTCGAACCACCTCACCTTTCTCATAAGGTGTGTTACGAACCGCATTGTTCCAAGAGACCTTCGGGTCCGATTAACAGTAGCAGCTAAGGCGCTCGCAGAGTACTACGAACTAGCATTCTTTAGGCTGCTAAGAGAAAGAATACCCCTGACTCAGAGAGCTAAGGGAGATGCGAAAACAGCTACAGAGCTCACTAAAGAAAAAATAACATCAGCTCTTTCGTCCAAAGATGCTTCTCATACACTTGAAAAGGTCAGTTGCAACACTGAGCGAGTCTTTAATAAGACCAAAGACCAACAACAACGTAAATTTGATAAACTCTTTCAAGAGAAAACAGCCCTCTTTCGCCGACCAATACACCTTGTATTGACAAGAATGTAAATGGTTATCAATCTATCCTCAAGGTCCTTAAGCGACACTGAGGTTTCGCTGCTGCAGAAAGGGTTCAATTTCGCAATAACTCCGACTAGTATCCCAGCCACTGAGATAGTTGCCAAAGTCGAGTCTGCTATAAGACAATTTGACAAAAAACAATCCGACTCAGTCAGGTCACTGCGGGAGAACTGTTCATAATCTTCTCCAAAAGGCGTAGCCATCTGAGCCTAACATAACTAAAGACATGAAACAAGCCCTCAAAAGCTTGAAGGAGGATGACAATATTATGATGGTTCTCCCGGCTGACAAAGGTCGCGCTAGCGTAGTTTTAGATATCGAGACCTATCGCCAGAAAATGAAAACTCTTATCGACAGCGTTCCATATCGACTTCTTAACCAAGACCTTACTGACCGTCTGAGCAGAAAAACGTTCGAACAGAGAACCCATTCTCACCGTGTAGGAGGCCTGGATATTAACTACTGTATGAAGAAATAAAGCCCCTTGGGATAACTTTTCGATCGCGTGGGTAGTACTGTTTGTATTTTATATCTTGACGGTGCTATTTAACAATTAGTTCATGCGTGAGCGTTCGTATGTCGAGATATTAATAGGGACCTTAAGATCCGAGGACGGCAACGGCAGAGAAAGTGTCGCTGAAAAAGTGAATTCGCGTTCTTTCCAGCGCCGTAGCTAGTATGAGGCCAACCGAGGCACTCGCCTCGGTAAAATTTTGACGAATTTCGCCGATCATTTTTATTTTACATAAGCGATCATCGGATATTTTTAACGCATCATTACAAAGAATTCAGCAATTCAGTCAATATACTATGAAAAAAATTACCATATCATCGATCTCAAGGGGCTACGTACGTTAACTCAAATTTTTTTTGAACAAATACTGATCGAAACCATTGGCGAGGTTAACGGTCACCCAGATTATGTAGCTTGTTTCTGATTATTGCTTTTTAAATTCCACTTAAATTAACTCGAAAAAAAGTTACCGAAAGGCCCAGAAAACGCTGCAAATCGCATTTCCGAGAGACTAAAGTTCAAAATTTCTCGGGGGGGGCGGGGGGCATGCCCCCGAACCCCCCTAGCAACTCTCGCCTGCCTCGGTTGGCCGTTTGGTCTGGCTACGGCACTGCTTTCAATCTTCATCACGATTACTTCAAGTCACTAACTTTGTCAAATGTAGGCGAACCCTCCTAAAGTCGAATTCCTAAGAACCATATCCAAGTTCAGAAGGAGCGAGGAAATTTCGTCGTACTTCCTCTGTACATCGTAAAATTAGGCATTTTCACGTCGTAGTCGTGCAGTGACGGCAAAGAAATGTACAAAAAGCGTGATGCACGTGCAGAACTGTTGTTTTGCTAATTAAACCTATTGTTTTTGTGGTGTTCCCGTTGCCGTCGCCGTCGTCGGATCTTAAGCTGTCTATTGAGCACGTGGGAAGTTTGGAGAGCACGAAAGAGGCGTGCGCCGAGTGCAACTCTAGCCTCTTGAGTGCTCTCCAAACTTCCCAAGTGCTCAATATTTCGGCATACGCACAGCTGCAGCATGAACTAATTGTTTTATAACATTATCAAAGCGATCAATGCAGCAAAATTTTATTATTGCAGGGCGCACTCAAAGCCGTACAATGTTTACGTGACTACATTTTTTTTTCCTCACAGTTAATCTTATGTTTTTATCCTGAAACTGAGAGAAAGTGTACTCTAAAATGATTGTAAAATCCATATGTAGGTGCCAAAAAAATACTAATTTACGGAAAAATTGTTATTGAGACAAAACAGCTTTGCAAAGAATAATCTCACGCCATAGCCCGCACAGCTCGCGGAGATGACAACAACAAAAACAACACTCGCCTCTTTTCCTTACTATCGGTTGACAAATTCAAACGTTTCCTCTTAAATTTCAATTCCTTATAAAACACATGGTAAACGCTTCATCGTGCACTGCTGAGTTACGGTTGCACTCAGGAGACTCAGGATTGCTAAGCTCACAACAACTCGAGGAATTACGAATAGTTTATTGACGTCATCAGCGTGCTCAATAGGAATATGAAGCACGCTCGCGCTATTGAATTTAATAAGGCGAATTTTCTAGCTATGTTATAATTATGTTTTGAGGATCGCCAACGATTTTAAATCTTGAGTTCAATCATTTATAAATAGAGAATAAAGAACTGATTGACTGCAGATACTAATTACCATAAACAACAGTAATGAGAATTAAAGTAGAAGGCGCTGTGTATACAATATATACAATACAATACAATATAAAAGACTATTTTTAGAGGGCAACTCGTGACACTCACAGGACGAAATTTCAAGAATCCGTAAATGGAAACTTAACGTAAACACGTAAAACCGTTGCGGAAACATGACGGTAATCACATGTTTCCGTTAGCGGATACATTACGTTTACCCGTGTTTCCGTCGCTGCGGTTCCGGCGGAATCGTACCACTTTTTTCTACGTTTCCGTCAAATTTCCGTCTAAGCAAACACGTGTTTCCGCAAGAGTAAATGCGTGGCATCCTTGCGGAAACACGCGAAAACGTTCCGGAAACAAGTCAATTTCATGTTTCCGTCAACGTAATCGGAAGTAACTATTGCGGAAACACGAGTTTACGAGTCGGAAACTGGTGTTTTCAAGTTATTTCCATCGTGAAAAAAGCGCTTTTCACCATCTTGGGGGAGTTTTCTCGCCATCTATAGTTACAAAAACCCATTCTCTCGACATTTTTATTGCACAAAATAATACCACAGCAATCTTTCCAAGTACTTTCTTTATTCTTCTTGCTTCCTAAACTGACAATCAGGTCTTCTTATGGTATTTATTCATTACATTGGTTAAGTTAAATTACATTTTAAATGTGAGTGCCTATTCACACTAGCAATGAACAGGAATAGTAAGAGGCTTCCTTTAGGAAATCCACTAGAAATTTTCTGTAGGACTACGTACTCTTTTTTTGGCAAAGAAAATGTCAAATCTGTTAACAAATTAATACCCTTTATAGCAGATAGTGATAAACACTTTCATGTGCAGTTTATGGCTAGTGATATGTTTGGCTGTCTATAATAATTATTTCAACAAAGTGGAATATGATTTGTCGGGTGAATGTACATTGTAGTCCTGAGCAGGACTGTTGTTGACAGCGACTAACGTTTAGACAACAAGGTGATCACCATTTTCATGGGCATTGTCAAAACATCAGTTCCTGTCAACAGTCCCACTAAGTACTATACTAACCTGTATGACCATATACCACTTACTCATACGACCATTCTGCTTCAGGAGAATTTTATAATTATGGTGTCAGGAAATATTCTTACTCTTCTAACATGGTGGTCTAAACTACACAATTTTCTATGACCACTGCAAAGATTGAAATGCAAAAAAATACATCAACAAACAAAGTATGGCTACAGTTTTACATAATACAAGTCTGCTAAAACGGTTTTTGTGTTTCATGTGTACGTTTTAGGTCACTTCTATGCTGAAGTCATTACTTAGGGCGCTTTCCATTTGTCAAAACTGACCGGCCAGAACATTCCAGTAGTAACGAGAATTTCACTTTTAATCACAACTATCCAACTAGATCAGTCAAAACCTAAATACTAATGTACAAAGGAGATGGTTTTTCAGCAAAAACTCTTTGGAAAAAGCTATTTCATTGTCAAAATGACTGCTCCAGCCATGGTCCAGCCGACCAGTTCCAACTTTTGGAAAGCACTCTCAGTGTCTTTACCCTTACACAAAATGCTTGACTTGTAGAGTTATGAAGAAGATACATGCATCAAGCCAATTTCATCAAGAAGCACAAACCAAAATAATTCTTGGTGATTTATGCAGTCACAGCATTATTTTAACCTTGAAAAAGTTGGCCAAGTTTCAATCCATGATCATCTTTGTCATACATAGCAAGAGGTGATGGGAAACAGTGCCAATGCCTCAATTAAGTTTTAAATAACAGAACTGGACCATTATTTTTGGAACTTAATTTAAGCCAAGACACATTTAAGCCTCTCAAAGAACAAAATATAGCATAGCATAACCTAGCCCTTTTAAAGCAATATAAAATGCCTTTCTGGAAAAGATGTTCACAAAGTTCTAATAATTATTATTGTTATAAATGATTATGCCTTCCCTTGCAAGGCTGTGCTCTAAGAAAAATTGAAGGCAGCCCAGCACTCTGAACTTGTGAAATCCAGTGTGCCCAGCAAATGATTTCTTTGAAAAAGCAAAGATTTTCGCCTGAGAACAAAAGTTACAGATGTAGGCGCAACGGGCCACAGAGCACAGCCTGGTCTTGGTCAATAAAAATACAAAAATGAATGAGGTCAATATTCAGCCATCTCGAATGAACAAGCTTGGTCAATAAATGAATTATTACATGGCCAAGAAGAGAACTTTTACTTGCGGGACCAACGCAGGAAATCCCAAGTGGGCCAAATGGGCTCACCTTGCCCCCGTGGGTAGCCAATTAGAATGCAAGGTTTGCTTCACCTTGCCCACTCGAGGTAGCAGTTGGACATTTTTTGTCTTTAGCATAGAAGTAGTATTTCAAGATTAACATTTGCAGAACTTGACTAAGCATAAAGCACAGTAACTTGAGACTGAAATTAAGTTCCATGAACCAGCCTGCTTTGAGAGAACGTTCTGCACCAACATCACATACCAAGGTGATCTGCCTGGCCTGTTGTATGAAAAACAAAACAAAGTGCTAATAAGTATAACACAGAAGCTATTCCCCAGGCTATCGGGGGGGGGGGGAGGGAAAACCTTTTAGCAGTAAGACAACTTTACTAATGTAGATATTCTCATACGAATAAAAAATACTAAATGAGTAATATACATATAATTTACTGGCCGCTTATTATTTTTGACAACTCAGCTGTCTACTTCAAAACTTTCTGACAACCCTGATTCATCACATTACAATAATTTTACAAGCATACAGTTGTGTTTCATAGTAATAGTTAGTACATTATGTTGCCCGCAACCTGCAACGTTAAGACTATGGACCAGGGGTTACATGTACATGTAAATGTAAAGAGAGGCTGTCTATGATTACCAGTACCAGTAACAAAAAGCCTACTTTTCAAGGGCACAACCTCCCTCAGGTTGTACATTATCATCTACACGTACAGGGTCACTACCAGGGGAAGCAGGGGAAAGTAACAAGGTCTGGGTGCAAGAAATGATGTTCTCACAACTTGTAAAGCAATAACCCTGGTGGGCAGCAGATAATTTACTGCAGTAAATGTATACTTCTGGTGTACAATGTATTATGCAAAACAAAGTTCCAATCAAACTCCCCCGAACAAAACAGTTTGGCCATCAAACAATATCAAACCAGCTTTCTGGAGAGTTTGATGCCTGAACAAAATCGAAACAAACCAAATTATATTGGAAAAAAATAAAATGTGAAAACTGAGTCAACTCAACAAGCCAGGGAAATCTGACAAGTGCTGGATTCAGAATATGCTACAATATTATTGAGGCCAATTATGTAGTGAAGAGTAATAACTGAGATGATTACCAAGATGATTTCAACTCGCAGATTTAAAGACTTTTTCCTTGGTAAACAAAATAAATGTATTGACATTTTCACAGAAAATGTTTATTTTAGAATTTAACTCTGAAATGGAAATAATAAAAGAAGCAGGATCTTACATCGCCTTGACTGCTTTCACACTAGATCAATAATTAACACACTTGTCATCAATTGCTTGGAACTGAAACGCTTGTTTTTGTTCCATTTGAGTGTTCCTTATGTGAGTTCCACTTTGTTTGATAACCCAACTCAATGTTTGACTGAATTCAAAAATCAAATGATCTATTCAATTTTTTTTTTGTGAGTGGGTTTTGTTGAATGGCTGAGCTGCATCAAACTCTTTCATTTGAAAGAGTTTGATCTAGCTTGAAAGCCAAACATTCAATGTGATATACTGGATATACATGTACATGTGTTTCCTAAAGTAAATATTTTAGCAGTGAGAGGCGAACCAACAGAGAAAATATAGTCAATAATTGACAAAAATATCATGCCTCTTTGTTTTTCTCACATGTTGTAATTGTTTCTTGGTACTGAAGATGCAAGAGAAACTAAAAAAAATGTGACAGTCACCGCAACCATGTAACATCTTAACTGACAACAACGTATGCTGAGTTATGAGTGTGGATATTCAAGGAATGATCAGTAAACAAATCTGCTGGTTGCTTTGCAAGTTGTGGGAACATTGTTTGGATTTCAAGAGAACATATTATTTTAAGGAGTACCCTCCTTCCCCCTGGTCAATATGATGTTTGCATAGAACTGCAGGGTAATACAGGATAAATAAAAGTGGTTTTACTAGTTTAACTCCACTGCTGGTTTTGCTGTCCACTGAAATGAAGACTTAGGGCGCTTTCCATTTGTCAGAACCGACCGGCCAAACCATTCCCAACGCAATGAGAATTTCCATTTTAATCAAATCTCTCCAGCCAGATCAGTCAAATCCTAAGTAGTATGCACCAAGGAAATGGTTGTTCAGCAAAAACTCTTGGCAAAAGCGTATTTCAATATCAAACCGACTGGTTGGACAATGGTCCGGCCGGCCAGTTCTGACAAATGGAAAGCGCTCTTAAAGTCTGGATCACTCTGTTACAGTCGATTTCACATTATTTACCACACCATGTTGCAAAGTTCGTTGGAAAATTGGGTACTACATCATGAAGTAGCCAATTACTTAGCAAGTTAGGGAATCAAATTGCGAACTTCAAGACATAGTTGTCAATCACGACTGAGCTTCACAAGTTTGCTCAACAGTAACTTCACTTCCCAGTTGTTTTAATCACCGAGTTCTCGTCAAAGAAGTACCTATTCCTGGGATCACAGTTACTGAAAAAAATATATGCTTCAACTTTTTCTTGAGCGTCTCAGTCAAGCATTATTATATTATTAGATTAAGCTCTCTTTTGAACTATTGTCAACTCTTTGCAAGAGTAACCGAAATCACGTGTCAATACATGACTTATCGAACCTTTATGGTCAACAACCTGATTTTCGATTAAATGTTTTTGTATTTCCGTAGCATACACACTTGGTCGCCGCTGTTTAAAAACTCTGTGTAGGGGCTTCCTGGACATATGAAACGATCAACAATATTTGTTACCGTCCTTCTCAGTAAATTAAACTGGTGCACTATTTAGAATGGTTTCAAACCCCAGTGATTTTGTTACCTCTGCATCTTGTGTCCCCACACACAAAAATTATCCAAAGACATAAAATAATTCATGGCATGCATCCCGTAGGATGCAAAGGATGATCGATCGATTTGAAGATTTGTTGGTAGAATATCCTGTTTGTGCGATTTCTGTAGCTGTTGTTTAAAGATGTATATAAATATTTTAGTCTTTTTGTGCTTTAAATATATAGGACTATATTTTCATTTTAGTAAACTGTCATAAAAAGTTTTGGCATCTGTCTCCAGATTAACTGTCTGGTTAAAAGGCCCATACCAAGCATTTTCAATCAAGCACTCCCTGTTTTTTAACTGGGACTCACTGGTTGTGCATGTGAACAGGCCAGAACTCTTGACTATTCACAAAATGAGTCCCCAGGACTCACCATGCATATACTATTTGTAACAAAATCACTGGAACCCTCTAACCATTTTTCTACAATCATTTCACAGACCTCACAGTGCAGCGCCTTGCCTTGTTTAGTAAGAGGATTCAGGTTCATTATGTCGCAGTTTCCTGCTCGGGAAATTACTGTACTTATCAATCACAGCTTTGTGTCAACAAATATGTCTCCCAAGCATTATCTCAAATGCTACAGACCACAAAAATGAAATATGGAAAACTGTTAAGCTTACCTCGTCTTACTATCGGTATTCCATCACAATCCTCCGCCTTGGATAGCCTTAGCACGGTTAAACACTCCAACTTTCAAATTATACTTGCGCATCACGAGGTTTTTGTCTCACATTCTGCTCCACTGTGTCAGAAAAGAGTCGCTACGAGGGAAGCGATTATTGAAGGCCGATGGGTCGCTAAATATACATAACAACCCTTAGATGTCTTGTGGTATCATCAGAAAGCAAAAAATATACCGATTCCACGCTCTTAGAACCTATAGAAGCTGGCAAATTTGAAGCCGTTGAAATCACTTTCAAAATGGACGCCAAAAAGAATGACCGTAATGAGCATGAGCAAAGGAAAAGTCCGCTGACCAGCACTCCGCTCTGTTCTAGGCCCCATTCTCTCTTGTTTTCTCTGTTGTTTTCTCCGTCTAAGAGCATTTTAGTTTTACGCCAGTACTAGTACTGATTAACATCAATCTGGCAAATATTGAAAGCTGTTGGTAAGCTCTGCGATTTTTATCACTTAGAATGGAAAGCAATGGCAACCTCGCACACTTCACAGTCTTTGCATCAATGCAACGCTTGTGAGTAATGCATGAGAACCGTTTAATCTCGAGAGTAAATTTACCTTTATTCACCTTGATTGTACGCCAAGGCAAAGTTTACGAAACATTGATCATGCGATCTTGGACATGGGTTAAAAAAAGAAAAAATTGGTCACCTGGAACGTAACGGAAACAAGAAAGAACGGAAATGTGATGACAGAAATGTGGCGGAAACATGATCGTTCGTTTCCGACGCGGAAACATGGCGGAAACGCGTCCCGTCCATGGAAAACTAGATCACCATGTTTCCGCAGGGCGGAAACGTGACGGATATAAGCAACTTCCCGTTTCCGTCGAGTTTCCAAAATACGGAAACACGTTATTTCGTCCTGTGACTGTTAAAATCGATGACTCTTTAACCCTCTATGGAATGAACAAAGGAATATAAATAACTCAAATATGAAATATATGCAATATACAGTTCAATAAAATTGAGATAACTGATAAAATAATAAATATACCTAGTTATCAGGGAGGATTCTTACTTTAATTTTCTTCGATTTATTTTGTATGTTTATTATATGTTCTTTATCCGTATGATACTATTTGTAAAACTAAAGCGAACAAGATAATTGACCTACAAATATCACAAAAAATAATCATCAAAGATAAAGCTGGTCAGCAACAGTTAAACACAGTCTCGTGTCCAATATATTTGAAAGGGTGAGTTTAGTCAAATATGGCGCCATCTTGGAAGGGGGGGAAGGTGGTCAGAGGTTATTGAATCGCTTTTAAAACCAGGCTCTTACATGGATGCATATAGATATACTCTTCTTACACTTATAGTTATTGGTCATGCAAAGAGTAAAATAGAACAGTGGAACAGATATGCTTATTTTATGACTCTTTAACCCTCTATGGAATGAACAAAGGAATATAAATAACTCAAATATGAAATATATGCAATATACAGTTCAATAAAATTGAGATAACTGATAAAATAATAAATATACCTAGTTATCAGGGAGGATTCTTACTTTAATTTTCTTCGATTTATTTTGTATGTTTATTATATGTTCTTTATCCGTATGATACTATTTGTAAAACTAAAGCGAACAAGATAATTGACCTACAAATATCACAAAAAATAATCATCAAAGATAAAGCTGGTCAGCAACAGTTAAACACAGTCTCGTGTCCAATATATTTGAAAGGGTGAGTTTAGTCAAATATGGCGCCATCTTGGAAGGGGGGGAAGGTGGTCAGAGGTTATTGAATCGCTTTTAAAACCAGGCTCTTACATGGATGCATATAGATATACTCTTCTTACACTTATAGTTATTGGTCATGCAAAGAGTAAAATAGAACAGTGGAACAGATATGCTTATTTTATCATAGTTTCAGTTATGTGTTAACCTGCCGTTTTAATGATGTTTTCCACTACCTCCAAAGGGACGTCTTCGTCGCTAATTTTGCGAACAGTTCGTCGTTTGTTCATCTTTTCGTAGAACTCGGCGGACTTTTGTTTCATTTGTTCCTCGGTCAAGCGATCTTCGAACCAAGGATAAGGTATTTGATCATTGTCACCTAATTCACGTGGGTCACTTTGAGGGATGTCGGCCGTTTCGCCATCTTGCATAGGGTCCACATCTACAGTATAACCTTGTTTCTTCTGCTGGAAAACTCCCCTCATTACCTGAGCGATGAAAATTCCGGCAAAAACTGAGGCAATGTACTGCCAGTATGAGGCGAGAAAAGGAGCAGATAATTCCATTATCACGTTATTATAACTTTTGAGAATCATTTAGGTAAAAGAGCTTTGGGGAACATGTTTGTTGATATCATTCTATGTAGATCACGTGACGTTCTTAGAAGTTAAATCGTGCATGCAAGCATGACATGAAAAGAGAGCAACCTCATACCCAGGGTCCTCTCCTACCCGACCCCCGGGGGCCGAAACTCACAAACTTTGCTGAAAATAAAATTCAAAATTTAATTGTTTCCTTGTCTCTCGATCTAATGCATGTATTTTAGACATTTTAGACGCCTGCCCCTGACTGGTGACTGTTCCACTTACCCGGTAATGTTGGACCAAACTTCCTACAACAAGAATCCTAGGTTCAAACAAATATAGCTACTTGGCAGACGAAACTCATGATCACTACAAGAATTAGTGGAAACGCCTGAATTGCCACTGCCTAAGTTTTTTTTAATTTAAATTAAATACTTCATTATCCTATCCCCTTATCGGGCTTTTCATAGCCTGTTATGAACGCCTGAAATAGCCTAGCTCTTTCAGTTCTCAATTTCGCGGACCCAACTATTTCGGAGCCTGGAAGAGGTTAGGCTTTTCAGGGATAATGAAACAAATAAGATTGGGAATCCCAACTGGTAGGATAAGGGCCTGTTGCGAGGACAGACTGGTTATTTTTACAGGGGTGGCCGTGGATTTGAGCTCGGGACTACTAACAAAAAATCCAGCTAGCAGTCAGAGTGGGACTTGAACTCGGGGCCTCTGGATTACACTGAGTCCAGCGCTTTAACCGCTCGACCACGCTGCTTCTTATAAGATTTGTATGAATGGAACTCAGAAGAGAAAAGTGTGCTAGACGCATGCTTTCCCGCATATTCTTGGTAGTAGACCGACCGGTAACAAGCCACCGGACAAACCTAGAAAAATATCAACGACATTGTATAGCTGCACCATATCTAAGCCTCGTCCATTTACGTTTCGCGGTCCAACATTTCGGGATATTTTGATGGAAAAGCGTTGCGTTTCAGTCGTATCACATGGCCATAGTTACACGACATGCTTTTTGTGATGCTTATAATATGATGCATGCATAGGCGTACGGGCAATTTTTTGCCAGGGGGGGCGGTAATCCATTTGCCCAAAAAATTCTTGCAAGTTGCCCAAATTTTTACAAAACGGTCGAAAGGAAACTAGGGCCATGCAACAACATAGGCCGTACTGGCATATGAATTAAAGTGGCTCGATACAGTTTTTCAGAGTCAATACCTGCCAAGTTTGAGCATAAACTACGTCGCCACAAACAAGCATTTGGAAAAATTGCCACCACAGTTGAATTAGATAAAGAGGGAAATTTGTCATGATCAGGGTTGCAATGAAATCGGAGCTGTCATAGCAACGAAATGACGCCATTACCTATTATACTTACAGCAATATTTCTCACTGGGAACTGTTCTTAAAAAATCGTTCAGGGGAGCTCTTTCCTCCAATAGTCGCCTCGATGTTCGTGAAATTAAAACGGAACTGTAAGAGCGTTACCGAGATATTTTGGGATGAAGTTTCTATTGTTAGAAATAAGGTAAAAAAGGAAAATCTTGATGTTTAGTCGTAATCTGATAAAAAACGAAGCGCTTTTGACATGCAATTTCACCTCATAGTAGTTTCAATCTTTTTAAAATTGTGTATGAAAGATCATGGAGATAGCTCCTGCCAATTGCTATAAGGAAGGATTTGATTAGCGCTCGATCTTGTTAGGGGTTTTGTAAACATTTCGGTCTACTTAAACAAATAAGTGAATAATTTTTAAACCGCTCGATAGATTTTTTTTAAAAAATTATGATTCTTCTCGTAATTCAAACTGAGAATTAGTCAGCCACTTCACTTTCAGACCCATTGCTGATGCGTGTTCTGCCACACACTGTTCTAGGAGCGGAGGTAATTCTAGAAAGTTATGCGGAAGTTTATTCTAATCAATTCACGACTGGAAATAGCCCACTCCAGCTAATACAGTGAAGTACAGTGCCCAACAACAACAACAACAAAATCAGAATATGATACCCTTCCCTTATAACCAGAAACTCATCACGTGATAGGCAACCACTGTCTCGTGTGAACGTAACTGAATTATTATGCCGACTTCTGGTTAAAATAGAAAATATTTATCTCTTCAAAACAATAATAATAATAAAAAACATGGAAACGTCTTTAAAAACTGGCTTTGCCCAAATTTTCTCTGGCTGCCCAAACTTTGGGGGGGCTGCAGCCCCCCTCGCCCCCCTGGCCCGTACGCCTATGGATGCATGCGTTGTTTAGCATTCTTCGCCTGTTGGTCAAACAGTTAAAAAATAAGCCTGCTTTGCCGTTTCCCAATGAAGACATGCCTGTTCTTTTTTTTTTGGTAACCAAATAGCAGCGGAAAATGAAATTGACACTCTCCAGCTCCATTTTATTAGGTTGGTGCTGATTCAAAAGTCTTTAAAGCCTCTAGATGATGATGAGGATAAGAAGATAAAGAAATAGATGCCTATAGTGCATTAAAGGAAGGATCACTCTGGTCTCTAGAGTACCCCGCAGAAATTGAAATTATGTTTTAAGTGGTCGGATATGGACTGATAGAACAAAAAAAGCAAGCATGATTTTACAGTCTGGAATATATCCGCCCTCTTTTATTTGGTAAAAGAAATATATATTGGCGACTGTAAAACGATCAGCGTTGCTTCTTTTGTTCTATATTTCCAATTGTAGCTCAGGATTAGATCCTTTACTAGGATCCGGTCCTTCTTTTTTATAAGTTGGTCCTTACTTTCAAAATTGTATAAAGATGGGTACGATCATACTACTGGCCAACATACTGTAGGGACTCTTTGTAACTTGATGAAGGGATGCATGTTTACTGAATCATCTTAAGCAAATATAATCTCCTAATTCTTTCTTCAATTAGCAGCCAAATTGAATTCAGCTTTAAAATTTCTCCAATATCATTGGAATATCTTCTCTAAACAAATTAAAACCTGAGGCAGCAAATTCCATTTTTTTAAAGGCTTTACAACAATTATTCAGGCCATGAATAGACCGGCGAGTCAGAATAGCCCACCTTTGAAAATTAAAAAAAATCTGAAAAAGGGCTCTAAAACACGAATTCTCAACACTCCCACCACACATAAGGTTTGACTTCGGATTTTGATGGAATAATAGGTACATTTCATTTCCCGGCGATAAGTAACTTGGTGAAGAATTGTGGGGTCGCAGAGCCAGTGCCAAATACTTGCAGTTAAGCGAGTCTGCAAGTCTCTAGCGCAGGTAGAAGTCTGTTCAAGAGGTGCCTGCCTTAATTTACACAGTATGCGTAAGACTCCATAAGAAGCATTAGCGATGTTTTTCATCTGGTAATTCCATTTTGGAATTTCACCCCCAGTAGCCTTGTTTCACTGACTATTTCCAATTGACGATTCCAAATTTCTAAGTTGATATTTCTATCTTTGAGATCATGAAAGCAAGCTAACTGGCATCGATTTAGTTTTTACTGGGTTTAGGGCGAGCCATGCCAAGGTACCTATGTAAGAAGATCAGCAACGCGTCTTGTTTTGCCCGAGACCTATAACAGTACATTGTTTGTAAAGCATGCAATGTAGTATATATCATTAGAGTACACACACACTATTTTCATACACATAACACTGAATCAGGAGTGATTGAAGTTATACCACAGTGCAGCCCCAGCGAAGTTGTTGCTCTGGAATATAACGCCGGAATAGGTTCTCCTCGGCGGCGAGGCCCACCTAGGGCCAGTCAGGAAAAGAATTCGTGAAAAAAGGCTGGTTTTGTTGTAAATAAAATTATGTAAATCATATTTAATGACTCTAGGTAACCGGAATTTACAATTTTAGAGAAAGTCTGGTTGAAATACCTCGAAGAACTGCTGTGCGCGTTCTGGTCTTTTGGTAGATATAAACAAAGGTACTCGACAGTTCTATCTGAGCTCTGATACAGATAAACTTATAATGTTATCCCAATTACCTGTTTCAGGCTGGAATTAAGAGCTACACAGAAACGTCACATGGCACCGAAGAACTGAACGATGCAGATGTGCATTGCAATGTATTGAATTATAAGTAACAGGAGATTTGAGCCAAAACTCCCTGAACAGGATATTTCAAAAATGCTGAATTATAAATCATTGACCTTAGAGAAAGGTTTAGAACAATCATTAGTGTATAGAAAACCAAAGAAGAAAATGGCACGATTGACGATCTGATTGGTTTTCAGAATAACCAGGCGCTCATTGATTGGAAATACTTGTCCTGAAACTTCGAACTGGTGGCTCGATCTGATGAAAGCACTTCGTAGTTGAAATTCCAAAAAAAGTTCCGACAACTGAATTTTGTCGAACTTTCTAGCTACCGGCTTATGGTCCGATGATTTTCCTGAAAATTATTTGGCATACTTATTAAGCAGATAACAGAAAATTTCAACCCTAAAAAACAGAAAAAAATTCTCACTGGACACGATTTTGTTCTAAACATAGGGTTGCCACTCACGTTGATTCCGTAAAAAATGTTTATCACCAGTAATGAATGAAATTATTTCATATCATTGCCCAAGGGTAGTTGCAGTTCTTTTTAAAGTTTCTCAGCCATTGCTTGAAAACAAAAAATTATATAAGTTCGTCATTATAGTTTAATCGTCCTGTAACAACAAATGAGCCACTGACATTTCAGACTTCGGAATAACAGGGTTACTGTCTTTTATTAACATCCCTGATGCAGACATCTCAAAGTTTTACCTCTATACCGATCCATGGGGCTTGCTTCTCTAACTTTTTCTTCACTGTGTCTATCACTAGTCAATACTATATTTTACGTGGATGTGCTCTTTGCTTTGAACTAGTTTGAAAGTATCACTCAAAATAAAATTCGGCGAAAAAAAACATACGATAATTTTTATTATTATTTTTTTTAATTTTACTTGTATCATTCTGCCACATCTAAATTAAATATATACACAAAATTCAAATGGATGAGGCAAGGGAGCCCATGGAAACCAATAAGGCTTATGTGAAAAAAAACCACCTTTCATACAATTTCTGTAACATATAGAAAATTAAATAGG